TGAGGACTAAGAAAACAGAAGGATCATTTAAATGCCGAAAACTTGCCCAAGAACGTTTCTTAATTTTTCTCAAGGGAGGCATTTGACCACACAATGCACATTCTCTCAAGTCTGTCGACGACCTGGGAAACGAGAGTCGAAAAATTACTGAATAAATTTACTTTATTTTCTCAAGGAGTGTCCTCCCTTCAAATTACATTTCCTGGGATGCCTGCCTTCCAATATATACGTTATAGAACTGAGTTGATATTCATTCGGAATCATTATAATGATGAAAGTCAAGGTTATTCATATACGTATGATGAATAAAGTTATTCTGTTTTTCCAAAAACGTAATTCAAAGAATATATTTATATACACATGTCATAGAACCATTTGTCTCCAAACATTAAGGTTAGTCAAATGCTCATTGAAGCAATATTCTTGTATTTAACTATCGGCGCTGGAAGCATGTATTATAGTTTGTTGCTTAACTGCGTCAAATATCGCTTCAGCTTCAACGTACAAAACTGGGCATTGATTTTTTCGAAGGACGTCCTTTGAAATTAATCATGTTTTCGCAGCTTATTGACCGTTTAATTAAACCACAGCGACTTTGTTAGCCGTATGAAATTTCTTTCAGTTCAACAGTTGCCACGACGTTCGACTACCTAGTGTTCGAGAAGTTACGCATTAGCGAGTGCACTTAGATATCAGTATTTTTGTTCTTTTACAAAAATTCAACATATCTGTTACAGTGAAGCTAAACCATATGAAATCAAAATAGGCGCTATGGCTTTACGCGCTTTACGCCCAATAGTGAGCCAAATTTCTGCTCTCTAAACGAGGTAATATTGTGCGTTTTCAGTTTGACGAGCAAATACCATAACTGCACTCAACTGAAACGTGCTATATAATTGTGATTTCCGGTTCTCGTGTGTTGCTTCTAGTTATCTGCCGAGAGTGGCCCATAGCGTCGTCGAACATGGTCTATGTAAACATTGACCACCTACTGAAACGTAGACAGTAGACGTTTTAATAGGCAGTTTTTTGTTATCATTTCTGCAATGTGGTGCGGTACCCGTCAAATGCCTTGCGTTTCCGTGAAACGCTGGTTCAGGTATGCGTACTTTAGTGGGAGTCTATGGTAGCATGCATGTGTATCCGCTAAAATCGTCAGCTTTTTAAAACCGTCCATAAACTATTCATATTTTTTACCGCAACTTGAAGGAAATCAATTTGAGCTTCGACTTGTCAACATGCCTCAATTATGCGCATTTCTTTACTATATAAGTACTGCCTAGGTAGTGAGGAGAACGTAATTTGCGCGATGCTTTGTTCGCGGACCAGTTGTACAGTTGTTAGGGTAGTTGATGATAACGCAGAAAGGTCAAGGCCAAGTAAAAAATTAAACTACGATCTTGTTATAGCCATGAAATTAATACAAATACTTAAACGTTTCATTACATTCATGTTCTTACTCCATCTTTTAATTCGAATCCTATGAGGGCATCTCTGAAGAAGACACTCCAGTGGGTTGGTGTATTATAATACTACCAGATGCTAAGTTTTTCATACCTACGTCACCAGAATAAGAGACCTAGATAAATATCAAGATCCACTTGTGAGCCATCTTGATTTTTAAAACTACCATTTATAATACTATTGAACACATACCTGTTCTTCAATGGTATTGGTGTAATGATACGAGCTTTCTCCTGCTGCTTACACAAAATGAGTTGATTTCGGAGCTCTTCTGTATGCACACTTAGTTATATATGGCTTACACACCTCCTTTTTAGGTTTCCAGAAATAACTCATCATAAGCTTTGCAGTATGTTTCACCACACTTTTCATTTCGTATGATGGACGAATAATGTTTGGATCTGTGTCTCCTGTTATGCAGCTTTGCATATGGTGTCATAGATAAAATACGACAGTAGACTGATGTGTTACTGACAAAGGCAGTGGAAGGCAAGATGTCTATTTTAGCTTTTCTTGTCGTCACCAGTCAGCCAACACCTAAAAGATGAACGGTCAGTGGGAAGGAGCATTTTTACGACATTCTGAATAGTACGTAGGAATAAAATTGCCCCATCCAAATAGTAAAGGTGGCCCTGCACATAATTACAGGAAGGTTAACT